GAAGGTGCTTAAGGATGGATAGGGGTTAACAATATAGTACATTTTTCCAGGTTAATTTTGTTTTGTGCTAAGAGCCTTTGCCCAAAGAGGCTTTTTTTGGTGAGATGTAGTAGGAGTGGGTTTACAATACTATTTCTGTTAGATCTTTGTTTGTTTAATGTATATTTCTTCCTCTTGACTATAGGGTCTATGGCAGCAGAAGTTGAGCTTATTTTATTAACCACTATATTGCCAGTGTTGGATATATATTATATCCTTTCGCTGCAACTCTGGTGCAGTTAACTCCTACCTGGAGTTAATGCAGATGTCACAAGTGAAGGGCACAGTCCCCAATACGCCTGCTCTTACTTCTACTCCTGTAATGACTCTGGGGGTTCCTTGGCCAACCATGCTTCTGAGCAGCTGACTACAACTTTGAGGGTTCCCACTATCACTCAGGTTTGATAATTTCTTAAAAATGACCCACAGAACCCAAGAAAGTGCTACATTTATGATTACAGTTTTATTATAAAAGACACAGATTAGGACTATCCTGAAGAAGAGACTCATTGGGCAAAATCAAGGAGGGTCCCAAACATGGATCTTGCATGTCCTTTCCCTGTAGAATCAGAACATGTCGGCCTGACAGCTTTATCCGTATAAAATTACCAACCAGGAAATCTCACCCAAGCTTTAGTGTCGTGAGTATTTATTGGGGTTTCATTATATAGGCACAATTAATGGAACATTGGCCATGAGGTTAACTCAATCTCCAGCCCTCTTCCCTCCCCAGAGTTTGGGCTGATAGCATGTGGCTCAAAGCCCAACCATCTCAGCATATGATTGGTCTTTCCAGTACAGTCAGCCCCTGTCCTGAAACTACCTACCAGCCCACCACGTGTCACCTTATTACACAAACTCAGGTTTGGTCCCAGGGGCCCACCATGAAGAACACACACTCTCCAGTCACTTGGGAAATTCCAAGGGTTTAGAAGCTTCCTCCCAGGAACCTGGGACGAAGATCAGACAAATTCTTTACACAACAGTTCTCAATAAACATTGACTAATTATCAATGTAAATATTGAGTGAGTAAGTAAATGAGGTGCAGTAGAACTCCCGTCCTTTCTAGTCCTGAAATTCCATAAGGATGTTGTTGATGCTAAAAGCAATAGCTACAATAACAACAATAAAAATAATTATAACATTTACATTCTAAAGCCTTGGTAGCCATCAGGACTGTTAAAGAATATGCTGGCCCTGGCTGGTGAGGCTCTGTTGTTTGGGCATCAGCCTGCAAAGTGGAAGGTCTCTGGTTGGATTCCTGGCCAGGACACATGCCCAGGTTGTGGGTCTGGTCTCTGGTTGGGGCATGAATGAGAGGCAACCAATCGGTGTTTCCTTCTCACATCAATGTTTCTCTCCCTCCCTTCCGCCTTCCTTTCCCCTCTCTCTAAAAATAAATATATACAATGTTTTTTTAAATGCTGTTTTTTTTCTCTCCTTTTAGGGACATGATGAATGGCAGGTGGTTCTCCATCCTGTATGAAAGTAGGCATAGCTATGTGACTTGCTGTGACCAAGGAAATGTTAGCGAAGCTGCTACGAGTCACTTCTGGATAGTCTTTAGAAGCCACTTGACTTTTGCCACATTCTTTTATTCATTGTATAAGCATGTATTGAGAAGCTAGTGATCCAAGCTGGACATGTAGAATGAATAAGAAGTAAAATTATACTGGGTTAAGATTTTGGCATTGTTTATGACTCCAGCATAATTGTTCAAGCATAGCACATAGACACAATCTGTGAGGTGGTCAGAATGAATAGCCTCATTATTATGAATGAGGAAATGGAGGCACAGAGGGGTTATGTCCAAATTCACATTATTGGTTAGTGGCAGAGCTGAGTCAAGGATTCGGATGCAAGGAGTGGTCTCCAAATCTAATGGCTAAATCGTTCAAATCAACAAGGGTAAAGCGATGACAGATTGGTACCTAGAGAAAGATACTTGATGATGGTGGGCGGAACCTTGAGGCACAGCACTATGTGGGATGGTTTCTACACTCTGCTACTGTGTTTGGTTTTATTTAATTGCTTTGTTTTTTAAAAGTTACTTGCTTTGAGGAGGAGAGAGTCTGGAAGAGTCCCTGGATATGCTTTTGACATTTTGTATTCCATGCCTGTAAAATGGTGGAGGTTTTTAATTGTTGGCTGCTTTTTGAGAATAAATACAGACACTGCATTTAAAAGGATTTCTGCATGCCATATGGAAAGTCTTTGATGATGCCCTGGCATTTGAGGAGCAAAGCATCCAAATGAATAAATAGCTGTTGCATGTGATGGGATAGAATTTAAATGTCCGCCAGGAAGGACTGAGGAATATCTATTCAGGTCCCTCTTGACCCTTGTATCCTTTGAATGCTGAATTGGATTTTCTTTCTAACACTTTCACTGTCTCCTGTAGTTTGAATGGGAAGCAAAATCACTGAGTACATTCACGAATTATAAACAGTCATGTTTTGACTTCAGGAGACAGGTCTGAAGCAGAGCTGAGCAGGAGTATCCTGGGAGGCTCTGAGACAGAGAGAAGGTGTAAGCTGTAAGTTCCAGCAGTTGTCCATCCCTCTCGGCCTCAGGGATATCCCTCCTCTGAGCCTTCCTGGCACTAAGGTCTGCACCAGTTGTCCTGTGTGCATTGAACAAACATTGCCCCCTCATGTCCGCTAACTTCTCTGCCCTTTACTTGTCCAGAAGCTTTCCATTGGCCCATAAAGAAACATTCCATATTTGACACTTTGAAAAAAAATCCCCTATGTAGAGCTCTGTATGTAGAAAACAATAGATATTTATTAATTATAGTTGGGTGGGAAATGGGGATTTATTGGGAAATTGGATTGAAATGCTTTATCCATCTCTATGGTATCCTCTGAGAGACTTTTCTCCAGGAAAAAACAGTTGGCTGTTAAAATGCTCAGGAGACCACTAGAAAAGTGTCGGTCACAGAAAGCCAAGTTGATTAGACTTGCTGCAGTGAGCAATAAGTCTAATATGTTGACCCTTGACAGTGTTAGCGATATCTCAGAGGGGAAGTGGGAGGGATACATATTGGGTTTAGGAATGCCGGAGAACTAATGGGTATTGGGCAGAATTTATGATGTAATATTTTATGTAATGTAAACGTGAGGGTCTTGAAGTATGTATCTGATGCATAAGCTGTTAGTTTCATTGCTTCACAGTTTTACCTCCTGGGTGCAAGTATTTTCTAGATCGAGTAGCTATTTGGGGGTGGGGACTCGTCCCAGTATTGTTTAGCATGGAGGGGAAAATGCTGTTTGTGCATAAATATTTCTCACTTAAATTGGCAAGACAAAAAAAGGAATATTTAGTCCCAGTACTGTTTAGCACAAGGACAGAAAACTTTGCTGACTTTGGTTCTCAGTGTAGACAGAGAACCTGGCCAGTCTTTTGGAGACTTTATGTTTATAGCCCCAGCCACTAGCAAATTTCTTTTCTCTAATCCTTTTCACATTTAGGACCTGCACCATTTACATGGTATTGATCATGGAAGTTCGAACTGAATTACTTAAACCAACTGCAGTTGAGCTAAGGTGATAATATAATCCTCTGGCAGAAAAGACAGCTTTCTGCTTTTCAAAGTCACTGAAGGTTTTCATAGCCTCCATGAGTCAAGTATCTTCTAGTGTGTGAAGTGGTATATTTATTTTGTCTCCGGTCAGTCAGAAATAATTCAACATTTACGTTTGTAGTAGTTCCTTTTCAAAAGAGGTTGACCTTCCATTGCTATATGAATGGTTCTTCCCGAAATGATGCTGTTTCCCCACAGGAGTTAAGTGTGATTACTCCCTAGTCTTGAGTAAAACATTCCCTATTTCTTGAATGTATTGGTGCTAAGGCCTCTTTCTTAGAGAATACAGTAAGTAGAGTGGATTATTTTGCTTATTTGAATCATTAGCCATTGCATCCTAGCCCCCAAATGGCATAATGACAAAGTTGAAAATCATTTATTTAAATTAGTAATTTTATGCACCAGTGGTTTGTGAAACGCAGGCAGAGTAGAACTGTACAATAGGGAAACATGCCCGTGCTCATAGAAGGATAGATTATACAGTCAGAATCTGGAGTTTAAATGATGTGTTTTCTTCTCGGTTTGCAAATAACAGTTAATGGTGATAAGGACAGAGCAATCCTAATGTAATTTCTTCTCTGGTAATATGTCTTAAGATGAGGAAGCTATTTTCAGTTCAAAAGATGACTTTAAAAGAACTAAGTTTAAAGGGCTACCCGAAACAAAAGAAAACAAAACAAACTCAGAGAGAATTAATTTGTTTTCTTTGAAAAAGCAACTTCTTGGTCCTTCTCTATTAGTTTTGAAGTTTTCTTAGCAATATCAGCATTTTCTCTGCATAACAGACAAAAGCATCATCATCATTATGTCATTTGTTGAGTAAGCACAATGGGAAAGGCATAGAGCAAGACCCTTTAATTGCATTACCTCAATCAATCCCGTTAACAACTCTGTGAGGTAGGTATTATTTACCTCATTTTCAGATGATAAATGTGAAGGTCAGAGAAATTAGTGTTGTTTTTGTTGCACATTGTTTCTCTCAAACACTTATGAGTCATTGCATGTGAGAGTCAAAATGCAACTTGGAAACCACCCAGCTGTGTAGATAAGGAAGTTGAGGCACACAGAAGGGAAATGACTCGAAGCAGAATATTGCTGCGGGTTGCACATTGCGGTGGACAATGCAATTGGACATCCCCCATCCACACTAGGTCAACATTGGTCATTTCTTTCCCCTCACCCATTATTGATCCAGGAAGGGACAGTTATGGGCAGTGAAGTGTGGGGGTAAGTATGCTATTGGGTTTCCAGGGACAAGTTCACTGATCCTGAAAGAGCTGCAAGGAGAGAAGGTAACCATCTTTTCATCAGCCCAAGAAATGATGCCAACACCAAGGTTGGTAAAGAGACAGAAAGGTCTTATATTTTTTTTCCCATTTTCATAGGCTGGGAGGTAAATGGATAGAGCAATACTTCCTATCCAATCATCTCCCCTGGCCTGTGTTTCAATGTCCCAAAGTTTAATGAGCACAAAGCACTTGTATTCGTGATGATGCTGTTGGACCTCTGATTCAATGAAATCTGGAGCTCATCCTACTTCTGCACTCTATAGTTATATAAAAGATCTATAGTTGTACAGTTATAAATATATAGTTCTAATAAATTTCCTAATGACTTAATTCAGTTTGAATCAGGGTTGCTACTTGCTGCTGAAAGGATATAAATATTTGACTTGCAATTACCTTGCTCTCTCTCGTGAGCAGGGAGAGTGCTGGAAAAGAGAGGAATGAAATCAAAAGCAGGCCAAATCACTTTAAGTGGAAAAGGATAAGGCTAGGAGGGGTCACCTGAGATGAAGAAACCAGCAAGAGCCAGGGTAGGGAGGAGTGGGGAGAGGAAGAAAGAGGAAAAGAGAAAGAGAAAAAGGAAAAGGAAGAGAGACATGTGCTGTGATGGGCAGCTTTGGGGAGAGATGAATTATTATTTTTTAGTAACTCCGCTATGTTGTGCTATGGGAAGCCCTAGTCTCCAGCTTCTCAAGAGACATTTTGAAATTTATTTTGTCTAGTTCTTAGAAAAATATTCAGTTGGTGTTTTATTCTTATCACATTATATTCCATATACAAATTACTTTTGGGGGGATTGACTGTCTTCCCATACAAGGACAGAGTAGGCACATTCATTGCTTCAACTTTTCCTACTTAAGTGTTTTTCTTAATGCATCTTGCATATTTCTCATTAATTTGAATCAATTCTATCCAAATTTATTCCTAAATAGTTTATATTTTGCGTCTCTTGCAATAGATATCTTTTCTTCGATGATATTTTCTAACAGTCTGCTGTTTTTACACAGGGAATACTATCTATAGTGTTATTATTATACACTCAACCTCCTTGTCTGTTTTTCATTGAAATCATTATAGCATGAGAGTTATGATTCTCTTAGGCTTTCTGTGTACACAATCATATTATCTGCAGGTAATGGTAATTTTACTTCCTTCTTTCTAATTTTTTATCCTTTTAATTTTATTGTCTTAGATAATTTCATTGGCTAGTACCTCCATAAGAATGTTAAACAATGTGGTATCAGTGGATGTCATTGACCTGTTACCAACTTTATTGATAATATTTGTTGTGTTTCTCTGATGTTGCTTTCTGAATTGTGATGCATGTCTATCCATAGGCACATTTTTCTCTATCTAAATTAAAAAGGAAGTATTCATCTATTTCAATGGAAATCACCGTAACAAACTTGTCCCTTTTGCCTGGGAATTGCCCTCTTTTATCACTAAAAACCCAGCATCCTGGGAAATTCCTCATTCCCAGACAAATCAGAATAATTGGTTATTTGAACTAAAATGAAGAATGGATGTGAGTCTTATCTGGTCATTTTTCAGTATCTGTGTGGATACCTTATGATTTTCAATTTGGTTAATTAATATAATTAATTGTATTTATATATTTTATAATATAGAGCTGTCTATTCCCTTTTGCCATGGACTCCAATGAATTATTTTATAGTAGTTCTCTAACTGATTGCTGACTTCTATTTGCTAATATTTTATGTTAGGTATTTTTGTCAACAGTCAAAATGAGATCAGTCTTTGGTCTTCCTTTTTGTGTGTGATCTTTGTTGTGTCTGTGTCCCAATGTTGTGGTGATTTCATTAAAATTTTGGAATATTTATTTCTTTTTATAATATCTGCAATGATTTAAATAGGCTTTGCTATTCCTTAAACTTTTGGTAGGCTTTTTTTGGTAAAACCATCTGGACTTGGTGTTTTGTGATGGATAGCTTTTTGACCATTTTTTTTTCAATTCAAACCCCCCAGTAGTAATTGGTTCATTTACATTTTCTGTCTCTTTGGCGGTTTGTTTTTTAGTAATTTATGTTTCATGGAACAATACATTTGTTACTGTAGCCAGTCAGTCCAGCACCAGGGACTCTCCCTGTTTGGCAGGGGGAGGTTCTAAATACTGAGTGTGTCAAAAGCTAGAAATATAAATGAATAGGGCCCAAGTGCAAGGAAAACTAGAAAGATAATTGAACAGGAAAAATTGCCCTCCCTTCCCTATCCTTATAAGAACCTCAGGCTTGAGCAAGAAGATCGAGATGGTATTTGTGACAGAAGTCCACCATTCTCCCAGGTCACACAGCACCTGAATAATAAAACCTCTTTCCTTTTGCACCAACACCTGCCTCATGGGTTTGGCTTTTGTGGTGGCAGGAAGCTGAGCCTCTGCTTTTTGTTCGGTACCACTTTCTTCAGGTTTTCAAATTACGTGAATAGAATAGATCAAAATAGTCTCAAATGGGACTACACCAAAGTAAAAAGTTTTTGCAGAGCAAAGGAAACCAGCAACAAAATGAAAAGACAGCACACGGAACAGGAGAACATATTCACCAATACATCTGATAAAGGGTCAATATGCAAAATTTATGAAGGACTTATAAAACATGACATCAAAATCCCCCAAACAATCCAATTAAAAAATGGGCAAAGGACCTGGATAAACACTTCTCCAAAGAGGACATACAGATGGCCCATAGACATATGAAAAATGCTCACCATCACTCGTCATCAGAGAGATGCAAGTCAAAACCACAATGAGATACACACACCTGTCGGAATGGCTATCAACAATAAATCAACAAACAACAAGTGCTCACAAGGATATGGAGAAAAGGGAGCCCTCATGCTCTGTTGGTGGGAATGCAGACTGATGTAGCCACTGTGGGAAGCAGTATGGAGTTACCTCAAAAAAAATTAAAAATGGAACTGCCTTTTGACCCAGCAATCCCACTTCTGGGAATATAGCCAAAGAAATCCAGAACACTAATTTGAAAGAATATCTGCACCCCTATTTAATTGCAGTGTTATTTACAATAGCCAAGATTTGGAAGCAGCCCAAGTGCCCATCGGTAAGTGAGTGGATAAAAAAATCTGTGGTGCATTCACATGACGGAACACTACTCATCTGTAAAAGAGAAGGAAATCTTACCTTTTGCAAAAGTATGGATAGATGTGAGGGTGTTATGCTAAGTGAGATAAGCTAGTCAGAGAAAGACAAGTACTGTATAATTCCACTCATATGTGGAATCCAATGAACAAAATAAACTAACAAACAAAGTGGAGACAGACTCATAGAGAACACACTGACAGCTGTCAGAGGGAAGGGATTGGAGGCTGGGTGTGAGAGGTGAAGGGACTAAGCAGAGAAAAGAAAGGCCCACAGACACAGACTGCAGTAAGGTGATTACCAGAGTGGAGAGGGTACGGGGAGGCAGAAGAGGGTGAAAGGGGGATAAACGGTGATGGAAGGAAACTTGACTTGGGGCAGTGAACACACGATACACTGTACAGACAATATATTATAGAATTGAATACCTCAAACCTGTATAATTTTATTGACCAATGTCACCCCAATAAATTCAATTAAAAATATATATGCATCCTATGTATCAGTATGTTTTTCCATTTTCATTTTTTATGCTTTATACTTTACTCTCTTAATTTAGCTTATGGTTTTCTATTTTATTGTTTTTTTCCCCCTCTCTCAAAACAAAATGTCTCTTAATCTGCCTCTTTTTCTTACGTATATATTTCTTTATATAGTTTTTCTATTTTCTCATTATATAATTATTTATGGTTTTGTTACTTATGATATAAGTACATAAGATTATGAATCTTTCTCTCAGAACACTTTAGCTATAGCCCATAAATTCTGACATGTGGTGCACAGGTGGCAAACACAAGGCCCGTGGGCTGAATCTGGCCCTCCACCTTGTTTTATCCGGCCCAGCACCTTGTTTCTACCTGGCAGCACCAAGCTCCTTGCCCCTAGTTAAGGAGCAGTTACATTTATACAGTCCTAAAATTACATTCAGTCCTTGGAAGGCAACCGCGAGGCTGATGTGGCCCCTGGTGAAAATGAGTCTGACAGCCCTGATGCAGTGTTTCCAAAGCTTGTGTCATTGATTTCCAGTTTAAGTGCATTGTAATTGGAGAATGTTAGCCGTATAATTTTCACTTTAGTGTTTTTGGCCCCGTTTCTTCTGTCGTTCTGTGGAATCCAGGGAAGTTCCCCAGCCAGCTCACATACCCCATGCCTGATCCAAAGAAAGTATGGCTAACTTTGTCCCTCAGGGTTCACCATGCACTTTGTGTTTTCGGTATCTTCCATAGCTCTATTTATTTCCCTCCGCCTTTGGCAATTCTTCCTCGTGGTTCAGCTTCACAGATGCTCCCTGCTTCCATCAGACATGCAGCTTGTGTTCTGTCTTTCATTCTCCTTGTTGTTTAGGGTATTCTCCAGGAGAAAGAGGAGGTCAGAAACTTCTTTACTCTGCCATCTTACAACTGGCAAGCTCGGGCCTGCTCTAGTTCCAGACGGTTCTGCAGAGGATTTGGGGAGGTCATCAGTTCCACACTCCTGCCTTCAGGCATCCCATCAAACCATACTTTTCTCTGCCAATCCTGGTCAGCTGGGTCTCTCGACATGTGTTCATTCTTAACTCAGACAAATCATATTTAATTCCCTCAGTCGCTTCTCCAACACTAGCTGCTTTCCATTCCTTTCCTTTCCTTTCTCCTCAGCTTCTGGGGAAGAAGTATGCACAGTGAATCCTCAGAGGACATTCTAGGGGAGAGAAAAGCCTACGCAAAGGTCTGGAGGTAAGAAAGAGTTGGGATGTTTGTGGAACTGCAAGAGGGCCAGGGTGAGTGGCTCATAGAAATGAGAAAGATGAAGGGAAAGAGGGTAGGATAGTAAGCCACTGTGAGAAATGAGGATTTAATTCTCTCTAAGTTGTTAGTCCTAGTTACCTGTACCTGTTGTACATCATGGTCTTCGGGAACATTTTTAAGGCTTGGCTAATGATGGAAGTTTCAAATTCCATGGCAGGGAGGTTTTTCAGGGTTGGGGGTGTTTGCTTATTTTGAGATTGCACAAAGAGGATATTTCCCAAAGGGACAGTCCTGCTGGAGGTGCCTTTCTTTGCTCGAACACCAAGAAATGTGCAATTCTAAAGCAAACATGGTGCGTAGTCACAGCTTGAGCAA